TTAGGTGAGGTTGTTGGCGAGGGCGATGAGTGAAGAATGCTCAGCCAGGAGGTTGCTTCATGGACGACAATGTTCAATGGTGACGCTGCAGTCAGAAAGTGGCATTCTAGGTGCTTACGGTTTGTCGATGATAGATGATATTTTTGTTGAAGGGCCAGTAGCCCCGTTAGGCAGATCAGGTGACTGAGAGTTGTAAAGGCGCGCTGTCATTGAACCTAACAGCTAAACATTGTGCTGAAGAAATTGACTGGCTAAATCCAACATATCTCATAGAAAACTGACCAGGGCGGCAATGTTCGACATATGTCTTGTTTGTCCTAAGAAGTAAGGGAAGTGATGGAAGTGACGATATCGCGTCTGATTGGTCAGAGGCTCGAATGACGAAAGAGGGAACTTTCATAATTTGAGCCTCTAACCAATCAGACGCAATATCTTCACTTCCATCACTTCCGTTTCTTCTTAGGAGAAACGAAACATTTGTCGTCGAACATACCCCCCAGGTGTGTTGAACATTCATCTTGGCGGGGGAAAGGACGGGCAGGTCAAATGCACTTCCAAGCACAGCTTTATTTACCACATTAGCCTGCAGTTACTGTTAAAGCAACTGGTTTGTAATCGTACTCGTTATGTAAAACTCGCGTCTGTGCAGTTTTTTCTTTTGCATGGTTTATGAATAGCTGTTTTGAAATACCTTCACCGCGACTTTACCTCTACCTTTTTAGACTATGTTTGTTGGTCCTAGGTTTATCGTTTTTTATGCACATAGCTTGAAGGCTAACATTCAACTTGTTTGTACTACCGTGTATGTTCGATAATACCCGTCAGCAACCGCATCATTGCATGTGCTGTTTGTAACATTTTCTTATAAATTGTACTATGTAGAGCGAAAATAAACATTTGCCTGCTTGAAATAACTCTTGTGTGAATAAATTACCTGTGATTGTCGTCCAGTGGTGCGCACGTCACAATAAAGCGAAAGCGCAACGCAAGCGGACGCGAGAACCGGGTACACAAAATGCCATGGGGGCCGCCATCTTGAAAACTAAAACAACAAAAACGAAGCATAAAATGTGGTTAGTTACCCCATCCGTGGTGAGAGGGCGCTTTTACGAGTTTAAATCATTGTTTGAGGAACTTTCGCTCTTTTTTAATTATTAGGTTATCAATATAATTTATATTGTGTGAGTAATATGTAATGAGTTTAGTTCTAAAATGTACTTTTATTCACACAAGGCCCTCGATCACGTGGTTTGCGATTACCACAGGCTTATTCTACAGTGGGCAAACTGTGTATGATAAACTGTGGGCCGAACCAGCTGGACGGCTGCCGGCGCGCGTACCGACAGCGTCGCCATAGCAACCACGCCGCGAGTGTGGTTGCCAGACAGAATTCGCACGATTTTTTTTTCTCGTCACTCACGTTGAGTTACTAGAAGTTAGGCGCGTATCATTATAATACATTATGCTGTAAGAAGTTATTAAGGGATATGTGTACCTACCTAAGACAAATGCAGAAAAAATATTATTGAAAAATAAAATTGGCGTAATCTTTTCATATCTTGATTAAGACTAGCGTGGTCACTGGGCTAACCGATGCGCGAAATAGGAGGGCATATATACCGCTCGGGGCACTTTTTGGTTTGTATAAGTAGGATATATGTACTATTTGTTGTGTATTGTGTAATGGACTTCTTCCAAAACCGACGCGCCCCATCGCGGCGAAATACCACGCAGTGCACTCTGGGAACTAGTTGGCCGCTATGTTTCGGTTTCGACTGAGCAGCTTCATCTCATGCTATCACGCCGCGACCGAACGCGCTGCTTGCGTTTTCGATTATCTGACTTTTCACGAACGTACAATACACTCATTCTCGAGCGATACAAAACGAAGACCGGGGCACTTTTCTTGGTTCCCGAAACACCGGATATTATGAGTGCGTATGCAAACGTAGTAAGACGTGGCTTAGTCACTCACCCAACGAGTGCATCTTTGAGTTCAATTTCAATAATCCCGTCTAGTACCAGTGAACTAGAACTGAAATTCGTTCACCTGGAGCCTTTCACCTATTTTGTTTGCCAAACGTCCGCTTCTTGTTACTTCATTGGGCAAAAAGCAAGCCGCATTCTCACAGGAGTATCAAAGTTGAGCCCAGCGTTGACGCATGAACTTTTAAGGAAACGCAATAAATTCGACCTCGCTACTGCACAAAAGTTACTATGATGTCTTCCTCGTGTCACATATATCTCCCACTCAAATTTTATGCTGATAGAAGATTAAGTTTTTGCAAATGCTGAGATCGGCTAGCTAGGACGGAGGCCCTAACAAGCGTCCCCTACTCCTCGCTAAGCCTTTTTGGACGAGCTTTTACTGACGCCCAAGATCTGTGCCTGGACGGTGTGTCTGAAATCATCTCGACATACTCAGGCAGGAAAAAAGCAAAGACATAACAAATATGATGGCCATGAGCAACTGTCAAACGCGCTTTGAAAATTTCGTTCGTTTGGCACACCGCATAGGGGTTCTTGCCCGTCCGGCGCACTCCCGGCGAACGGTGCGACATTCTCCACACAAGTGCTCGACCTTTGCTTTCTAAAAATGGTCTGTATGTGCGAATGTGCCTATATGATTGCAGGATAACTTTATGCGCATACGCCATGTTGAACATTAGTGAAATGCAAGCGGGTGGGGACCTCACTTCGTGCAGTGCTGCGGGTCAGTACAGATAAGAGATTAAAAGTGTGTTAAAATTGAGCTTTTCAATGGCGCCTCCGAGTTTTACCTCGCGTACTCAGGCGTATTAAGAAAAACGGTAATTGCAAAAAGTGATTTTTCGTCTATGGACGCACGAAACAAACTTCCTGATCAACAACACTAATGTAAAGGCGCGAGCTCGATGTAAGCATACTTATTGGTCGCTACAGCTTGTTGGTTCGTACATAGGCAAGATCCCCGAGCTTCGCAGCGTCGAGATTCCCAGCACTGGCTCGTCCACATACCTCGACTGGAACGCTAACAGAAAGGCTCAAGTACAAAAATACAACAAGCATGAGTTAAGACAAATTATACGTCGCGGGCTTGTCTAAAGCTTCAAAGTCTGGCCATTTAGGTTAGTTTAGAGACCACAAATGACGCTCTCGGGACCAGAAAACTTGAGATAACGGCCGTTAATAGTCCACGCGCTGTGTATAATCTTTTGTCGACGTGTCAATCGAAACCGAAACCATACCACCCTCCTCCCTGGCTGGCCAACTAGCTCCCAGAGTGCAACGCGCGCCGTGTTGCATGTAGGGCTTTATGGAAGTAGTCTATTGATCAGTGCTTGTATGCCCGTGTGTATGTACGGTGTTGTGTGTATGTCCATGTCGTAAGTGAATGTAATCGCGCGGTGGGCAGCAAAAAAACTGCTTTTTTCAAATGTTGATCACTTTTTTTTTTCGTCGCTAGATGGGGGTTGTCGCCGCCCAATTTGAAAAGTGTGGCGGTTGGTGATCTATAACTATTAGAGGGCTGGATCAGAGCCGTATATGTAGAGAGTTTGGCCATTCGTTGGGAAGTATAGGAGACAAATGAAGCGGCGCCATTGGCCGAAAGCGGGCTGGGCGTGTTCGAGGGCGTCTTCAGAAATTCGAATGTGACCAACCAGAAGCCGGAAATAATACCCTGGCGGTGGTCGCGAGAAACAAACCTGATAACTGCATTGGAGTAACTCTTGATGGCTGAAAATATGGTACACGTGATGTTTCAATCACACTCATCTAAAATGATGGTGGAAGAGTGCGACTAGCGGAAAGATCGACATAATCCTTACGCCAAACGCCGAGCGCCGGGAATCTGCCGTCAGAGCGGTCAAACTCTGTCCGCGCAAAACAGAGTTGAGTGGCGCATTCGTTTCTTACATCTTTCTGCATGATCATGATGAAACAACACGTGCACCCTATTTTGAACCACAAGGAGTTACTACACTTCACTCTACGCACTTATTAAAACCATATACGAACATAGACCTTCGATGATCGATCGGCTCAGAACTGTTTCTCGCTACCACCGCTAGGGGATTCTTTTCGGCTTCTGGTTGGTCAAGAGAGCATGCCAAGCCCTCTTTCCGAGTCTGCCGCACGCCCTGGCTCTGCCCGCGCCTCCCATTGACCAAACTCTCTACATATACGGCTCTGGGCTGGATGCCATTAGTCCATCCGTCGTGTTGATCGCTCCGAGTCGTCCGAGTTGTTCGGTTCCGCTGGTAGCTGTGTCGTCGTGTTATGCTGCCTGATTGCAACAAAAGGAGGTTAGGCGGCTTCCCCAGCGCGTGTTCTAGGTGCTGAATGCCGCTGTTCACGCACAAACGTTCATGAGTGGATAACGCACGTAACAGAGGTGAGCACAGGCAATAGTTAATTGAGAGCCACACGGAGCGCGAGTGCGATACCTCCTAGCCGCTGTCGACAGAGGGTGTCGGAGCGATTCGTTGTCAACTGTCGTCCACGGCAAATGGGCGTTTTGTTCAATAAAGCCAGCCTGGCAGTGTTTTGTAAAGCTATCCCTTCTTTATAAGCGCTTCTGATGCGACGAAAATGCGACCGGCATTGAGCAGGCCGAGCGAGGCTTCGGCGACAGTCTTGGCTGTTCATTCTCCAGCGGTTTCGGCCTTACTCGTATTATTTGCGGTGTTGGCGCTTGGACATAGAGATGTTTGGAAAGTTTTTTGCGCCTACAGATGACACCAAACGAGCGTGCGAGCCGTATGCTCCTGCTCCGGCGAGAAGCCGCGTACGGCTCGCCAGGCTCGTATCGCCTGTCGCATACTGGCCGCCACATTGTTTTTAGGGTGTTAGCAGTTAACACGATTTTCACCACCTCCGGCGGCTAACACCCTTACACGAATAAAGGCGTTAGCCAGAGGACGAGCCATTTACACGAATAAGGGTGTAAAATTTGTAAGTGTGTACAGCTCATGAAATGGTATCTTTGCTTCTGCACTTGTCTGAACATGCAGATAAGGTTACATTTTGTCATTTATCCGCAGATTAAGGCCCGCCTCTTCCCTCTGCCACGCGATGGCGCCTTCTAAAGCTCTTGCCCCGGAGCGCCCTTTGCAACTTCGTAGCCCGAAGTAGATTGTCCTGTTTCGCTGGTGGTATTCTTTCGACGCTTTAAAAAGCACAGGTGCAGCTCGCAGATAGTTGTGCAGCACACACGCTGCCTTGATGAATGAGGTGACCCTTCCTTGTTCGGCATCGATAGTTGTGTGCGAAAACCTAAAATGGTTTGCCAGAATGCCAAACGCATTTTCTGCTACCCGTCTGGCTCAGATTAATTTGAAATAAAAAAATGAAATAAAACGATAAGGAAAACGTTGTTTAGAAATGACACGATGTAGGCGACACACCTGCAGTTAAATATAACCTTTTCTTCGTCCAAATTTGTACCAGTATATGGCTTCAGTAAGTTTTTAGACAAGGGAAAGGCGTCGTCTCCAACGGAGACGGGTGGGACGCCGACCGGTCCAGGTCCTGAGATCGGCAGACCGGCTGTTTCGTTCTCGATGGCATTCCGCAGTGGTGTCGTCCTCCAAATGCCTCCATCTCCATCAGACCCAGGTGCGCCAACATCAATGTACAAAAACCTGCTGTCTGCGTCCACAAGAGCAAAAAGCACGATACTGAAGGTCTCTTTGTAATTAATATACACAGATCCAGAGTTTGGAGGTTTGATAATTGTGACATGTTTTCCGTCCAGCGCTCCAATACATTGCGGAAACTGCCATCTTTCGTAAAAGTTCTTCATTACCGCAAGCCACTCATCTTTCGTCCGCGGGGACACCACATATTTTGGTCCCAGCATTTTGTAAATGGCGTCACAAGTTTCAACGAGGAACCCGTTGACGGCGCTGTGGCTAATGCGGAACTGCCTGCTTAGGGAATGTTGACTCTCGCCTGAAAATTCGCAAGAAAACAAGAAACAGGGCTAAGTCGAGCGCAGCTCTCAAATATGCTAAAACAAGGACAAAAGTAAGAAGAATAACCACACACCTGAGGCAAGAAACCGCAGCGTCAGTTGAAGTTTGTCTTTGGTTGGGATGGCTGGACGCATTTCAGTGTCGAGTTTTTGGATGCATGATGCAGTTGACGAGGGAATGTCAGCAAACTGGTTGGAGTCAACGTGCAGCAAGCGGCGGTACTCTACGGGGTCGCTCTCCAGAAGTTCTTGATAGAGTAGATTCTGTATACCAAGTTTCTTCTTAAACATCCATGTTTTAATCCATGTTTTTTTTTGCGTCGATATTAGGTGCTTCCGCAACTTCCTCATCCGCCATCATGAGAGCACAAGCCACAAAACTCGTGAAGCCTTGTTGGCCTCCATGTTCGAATTGAAAACAATTTCCAGTCGTTTTCTTTCTTTTTCTTTTCGGCTCCTCTTTTCACTATGCGCAGGAATCCTCGAGCATCTTCCACAGCTGTAGCTCGTGCGCACTAATCGTACAGGAAAATGAGCAAAGGTCCATCCGTGCACGAGAACCGCGAGAGGAATATAAAAAAAAAACAAAAAAAAAAACCGCTCGTGCAACGAAGTGTACCACGAGCACTTCCACGCAATCGGTTCCCGGGCTTGTCCGAGGACCACAGCGAACTCGAAAAAAGGCAGAATTGGATCGCTTTCAAAACCGCTATAATCATGGTCCGGCAGGTCCGCGGACATATTCTGTGACGTTCGCCCACGTGATACGCAAGATATATCAGGTCCGAGGACACGTTCTTTAGGTCCGTGGACATGTCCCTTGGTTTTGCCTGCTGTTTTCGCAAGAACAATGGCCGATTTTATACCCCGGAAGAGATGACGTCACGCCTTTCGTAGGAACTTGTCCGCGGACAAAGCCCAGCGTGTGAATACACCTTACCGGTCAGTTCTTATCGGCCACTGATCCCAAGGGCAATTGCTGGATCCAGTGGCGTACCAACTTGTTTTTGAGTGTGTGTGTGCGTGTGGAGGGGGGGGGGGGGGGGGGGGGGCAAACCAACTCCCGCCCCCGGGTCGCATATTTTTCCTATTTTACTAGTGATGGGCCGAACTTTTGCAGAACTTTTTTAAAGATTCGGCAAAGATTCGGCAAAAGTATTGTTACCAGATTTAACGTTGATATTTAGTTTTTCTCACGAAAAAAGGTTTATGTTTTTTTTTCTTAATTTAAATACAACATGTAGTGCCTATTAACACAGTTATTACTAAGTAAGGTGATATTCTGCAAGATAATTGTATCGGTGTCGCTTTTGTGTGTTTACTTGCAATTTTAGTGTCTGCTTCCAGAAAGTGGCGTGACGAGGTTGGGTAGTAGCCGGGGCAGTCATGAATCACGCTACAAGGGGTTTGATCTTGAGACTTCATCAGCGCACGCCTGCAAGTGTTTACATTGTTAAAATAAAGGCAATGACTACGTTCTTACTTTCTCTGGGAGTCGCCGTTTCGTGCGCGAAAACGAATGCAACGGTTGCTGAGCCTTCAACGGAAGAGATAACAATATTGTAGATATGCATGTTTGACGAAAATAATCCCTGAAGAAGGGGAACAAGAGATACAAAGGACAAACACAAATCTCCAAGCACAGCTGGGTGACTAAAGCACCAACGAAAACATGTCGAGGGGCTTTATGGGTGACTGGTGCGCGACCGAAAAAATCCGCCTGGTCCGAGTATCGAACCCGGGATCTCTCCATTACAGGTGGAGCGCTCTACCAACTGAGCTAACCAGGGTTTAGACGTCATTAGAGCAAACGGGTTTTATCAGCTGCCACCATCTCTCCATTACAGGTGGAGCTTAAAATTTAAGGTTATGATTATAATGCAATTAAATGCAAAGGTGTTTGGAGATTTGTGTTTGTCCTTTGTCCCTTTGTTCCCCTTCTCCAGAGCTTATTTTCGTCATTCTTGTCTAGCTCGCTTGCACCTTTGCGTTCAATTGCATTATAATCATAACCTTAAATTGCAAACAATTCACCCTTGTTGGTGTCAGACTGGTGGCAGCTGATATAACCGTTTGCTCTACTGACGTCTAACCCCTGGTTAGCTCAGTTGGTAACGCGCTCCACCTGTAATGGGCGGAATTTTTCGGTCGCGCACCAGTCACCTTGCTGTGTTTGGAGATTTGCGTTTGTCCTTTGTCCCTCCGCCCCCCCCCCCCCTTTATTGTGTTTGTCCTTTGCTCCCCCCCCCCCCTTTTTTTATTGATAGCAACTCACCGAAACAGCTGGACGATCCAGAGCTCCGTGGCAGATATATATATATATATATTGATATATCTGCCAAGGAGTTTTGGCCTTTTTTCGTTGCGATGAGTAGTTTTCGCAGGAGCGATTTGGCCTGCGTTCTCTGAAACACCCTATATATATAGGGTGTTTCAGAGAACGCAGGCCAAAATATATAGGGTGTTTCAGAGAACGCAGGCCAAATGAGAATGCAGGCCAAATCGCTCCTGCGAAAACTACTCATCGCAACGAAAAAAGGCTTGTGGCGTTTTGGTCGTGGGCTAGGGGCCCATTTAGGAAAATTATTAAAGTCCGGGATAATTGAGTTGTTAATTTTTTTGCGCAATTAACTTTTTTAATATTGTGTTTAAGGGCATGGTTTAAATTAGCAAATTGCTCAGCATCATCGAAAAACACTAACAAATTGCAGAACGATAGAAGGCACGCAAAGCGTTTTATGGCTTTCTGAAAAACCGCACCAAATCGACGGGTTCTTAAAGGGGCCCTCAAGCACGTTTTGCTGGTTTTTAATTTGCACCAAACCTGAGCGCACTGAACGTAGTAACTTAATGAAACTTTCCTTTTCTCGAATTTCGCTTTAAACTAAAATACAAAAACAAGCAAGAAATAGCCTCCTTCATGACGTCCTTGGTTGCTTGAGTGGCCGTGAACTAGACGAGGGGTAGTGGACTCATCGAGCGCTCACGGCTGCCGCTCTCCGTGTCGACGGCGCGAGAGGGCGCCACTAAAGCATGTTTTGGATAGGCTGTATGTAGCGAGCGTCCAGAGCGGCTCTCATTGCATCTGCTGCGCGATTAAACACTAATTCGGCATGACACTTCATTGGCCACAAGCGACAGCAAACACGGGGTAAACGATCAGTTCAGAATGGGAGCCACTTCGCGCTGCCATACCGCGAAACGGCCAAATTGCAAGACAAAGCTTCTCGTCGAAGGCCTTCGGAACGCTCGGAGCCGGTCAGATCCTCCTGTCCATACGACCGCAGCGCCGCCGCGTACATCCGGGGCCTTTCCGTGTCAGCGCCTGATCCCACTACTTTCTAGTATGCGCCGCCTTTTCCACCGCTTGCTGGCGGGTATGTCGACGAGTCATTTTTTGTTTCCGTGCTTTACAAACTGCATTCGTTTTTTTTCTGATCTAAAATACTGAACAAAAACTACTTTTATACATAAGTGAAACGGTTCGCGACACTTATATTTTACATTTCGACTAAAAAGAAGTTTTTAGCGGCTCTGACCAGTAGTAAGCCCAGGACCAAAGACGTCACATTTTGCCCTCTTTCGGTACCGCGGGTCGCCCTCGTCGGCGGAGGAGGTTTCCGCGTCGTCCGGTTAAAATATGACACACTGATATTTAGTTACTCTCTCCGTGCCCGCTAGCTTGCCCGAACCCCAAGACGTGAAAGCCGCAAAAAAGGTAGACGATTAAAGAGACACTGACACCCCCCAAAATTTTTTTTTAATTTTTTCCCAGGCGCTTCATTATGGTGTCGGAGGACTACCCAATTAATATTTTGCATCAGAGTAGCGTATTTTTTTAATAAAACCAAAAGACGCAACTGCTCGAAACCGAAACCGAAACCCGACGGAGGTCGGAGAAGTGGAGAGAAGAGAGTGAGTGGCGGAAGTCACGTGGCTACACCCGACCGTGTGTGTGTGTTTTTTTTTTTTTTTTTCTCCTTCCCGGTAGCAGACGACATGCGGCGTATGGGAACTGCTCGCCGTGGGATTCTTTTGCAGTTATGTATGTTCCGCTCGTTGTTCTCTACTCCAAGCAGGGGCGGCGCCAGAATTTTTTTTCTGGGGGGGCGCTGCATGATTATACTGAATTCGGGGGGGGGGGGGGGGGGGGGGAGTAGTGTTTTCGTTGTTTATGTTCACTTTCATAACTCTTTCTGCTGACGAGCAGAAATCTCACCTAAAGTACACTTACGGAATTGTGGAGGGCTTAGCGCTGAATATAGGCATCATCCAACAGAAATTTAGATCGAACGTTTTTATTGGATATAATTTAATCCATATTCTCTCTCTTGTGTACTTAAAATGTCCCTCTTTTGTTTCTTCTGTAATAATTCCCATTGAGTATAATAGGAACCTTATTATTTTTATGGCGTTTTGTCTGTCGCAGTGAATATCCAGATTATTTAAAAAAACATTGCAAACTCTAAACGAATGTGTCCTTTAAAAGAAAAATTATCTCGGACGTGCGCAAGTTCGTCAGCGGAAAAACCACGAGGAGGATCGCACTGCGTTTTCAAAACTCAAACTTGTTCGATTCACTCGCCTGGTCCTCTCGACTTCATTTATATGTAGGAAACCCACGAATCTTGACATGACTTATGCGTGACTGAGGTTTCGTGCTTTCTAAAGCCAGATTGTTTGTCCAGAGCTTCACAGATGCCAAACGTGGATTTCTCATTCGCTTTGGTAGAGGGATATCCAAAAACGGAATTAACTTGGATGGTGTATTCTAGCCAAGGAAATAACCTATACCAGTCAGACTGAAAGCTTACAGCCTTTTTTTTTTTTTTTACTTTTTCGGTGGGAAAGAGTGCACTATCGGCTGCCGCGGCGACTCTGTCTTATACTTGGAAATGTCCAACTGACCTGAAAGATCGTCGTTTCCCTCCGATACGGTGCAAATTCGTCTCGTCTCGCGCACGAAGAAGAAAACTTGTCACTTTCACTGTTCCTTGTTCCGACGAAGGATGACGGACGTCGCTAGAAGCGCTGGGAAGGCCATCAGGAAGACTGTACGGCTGGGGATGATCCTTCCGCTGCTGCTCGATCTCCGTCCTGCTTCTTGACGCGCTTGTTAGAAGACGAAAAAAAAAATCTGCGGTTTATCTTCTTTGCGATTTTGTGTCTCCTTTGGAGTCTTGAAATCGGGCTCAGCTGCACATGTTCGGTTCAGCAGCATAATTGTTGGGGCACTTTTTTCGTGTCCGTCATCCTAGCTGGTAACATTTGGCACCGAGGCTGAAAACTTA